TTTGACCCCATGTAAACAACAGTCTGCACACAACATTGAATGTGGCTGTCACAAGCAAAATAACAAAATTGAAGATGAAATCTAATCTAATCAATCTTTTGTTTCTGTCTTAACAAAATCTAAACTCAGAACAAACTTACAGATTATGACAAAGCCAACTTCATGATTGCCCCCAAAAGGCCAAAGGGCAGGGGGCACTCAGGGAACCAAAGAAAACAAGCCAAAAAGTCAAGCCATCTGAACACACTGTTCCACAGACACCAGAAGTGGCTATGGGGAGGAGGAGGAATACGGGACTTCCAACTGTGTCAACCCGTTACAGACTCAGGTCCTAACAGGCAATTTCAACTCTGACAAAGTGTCTCCTTACATTCCCTTCTCACCAACAGGATTTCTACTAGGAACTTAACCTCTGCAGGCACTCTGTAAAGATGACTGACTTAATGAAGGCTTCAGCTCATACCTCATGTTAATGGGATCCTTCCAAAACACAGTTTTAATTACTGCTGTGTACAGATGCCTTTGTGAAATCAATTCCAGCAGACAGAACACAGCTGTACTTTACGATTTTAAACCCAGATCTCTCCAATTTTAATTTGTTGTGACCACCCCCCCACTACCCTCCTTTTTTTCTTTTCTTTTTTTTTTTTTTTTTTAATCTGATGCATCAGGGCCTCTTCAGATAATTTATGCAGAGGACATACAGATGCCCTTAGATCCCACAGAACAGCAAAGGCCCATGAATATTGCCTCTAATATTGAAGGATAAAGACATTTTTCACCTCTTACACATCAGGTTTTGCTGTTGCACAGCAAAGGCAGAGGGACATGGGTTACACCATAGATGGGTTACGTCACAGGGACAAGAATTTTCTCCACAGTCTGCTGGGTACTTCTAGAGCTTAACTCACTGTTGAACAAGTTCTACAAGACTGTCCTAGAGATGAAACGGAGGACATGAGTATTAAATAGCTACCATCTTTTGGGTACCTTCACAGCCATGAGGCACGTATAGAAATGCTGATAGAATCTGTTAACGTTATGAGCAACACTTTCTTAGAAGGAAGGCAGGTCTGCACTTTCAGTCACAACAGCCAGAATTTCCAAGGCCGATCATCAGGTAAGGTTAGCGTTTCCCGTCGTTACTTACTAGTCTCAGACTGTGTCTTCACAATAAACACTGAGGAATTTCAGGAATGTTGCTTGCTTTCTGCTGCTTTTCTGTGGTTCATGCTCATTGCTATCATAACTAGGTAGCACACATCAGGTGGAGGAGGAAGGGAAAGAAAGTCTTTCCATTAGAAAATGTTCAATACTGTCAGCTGCAAACCCAAGCATGGCTCTATTCCCATGCCCGAATTTCTTCTTGTATGAGGGAAAAGAGTCTAATCACACACAACAAGGAAAAGCTGCTCTCCAAGATCCCCCTGAATGTGCACAGAACTGAGACAACAGCATATTCTCAAGTCTTAGTTGACAGGAAAAAAACAAAACTCTGTTACACCACCAAAGATAAGCAACACATCAAATGCCACGGCTCAGCACAATGAGATGGCATCTTCAGAAACCACAGGTACCAACACCATTTCCTCATGGTTACCATCCAACGTCCTGCACTTCCATTCCCACTCATGAATACCTTCATCTCCTTTCACTGGCAAAAATCCAAGACTCACTTCTGTTCTACTCTTCAATTCCCTTTCTACGGAAGTATCTGCATACACGGTTTCCTTTAGAGAATATGCCAAGTCTCTTAAATGTTCTGCCATGCTGGTTTAATGTTTTTCCTGAGTAGCAAATCCTTTTGATACAGGCAAAAGAGTATCCAGGTATTTTTGCCATAACACTGAAATACAACCAAATTTTAAAATCACATGTCAGCTATGAAAATAAATCAAGGACTGCTATACATCTGCAAGGGAACAACCCAAAGGATTTCATCAGTAAACACCTCCACACTTCATTTTTTCTGGACTTCAGAGAACACAGTGTAACAGCTCACTCATATCCAAGCAATTAATTGAATACAATTTTTTATTATCTTTTGTTAAGAATTCAATAAATTCTTTTCCACTGTAATGAGGTGTTAAGCTTCTATGAAGTCAGAAGAAGACAAAGTGGTAAATATATCACCTAAAAACCACTGCATTCTCACTGATAACAACACAAATACATATTGGGCTACTTTAAGAGGAACAAGGCAAGCAGCTCTAGGGATGTCGTTAACCTCCTTTACTCAGCAGTATCTGAGGCTGCTTCTAGAATACAGTCTTCAGTTTTGTCATCATAGTTCTCCCTCCCCCAGCTCAAGAAGTGAGTGAAGAAACTGGAGAGAGGCCAGAGCTACCAAGACGGTCTGGGGCCTAAAGCAAATTACCCACAAGGAGAGGTTGAGGACTTGTTTAGTAAAGTGAAAGCTAAGGGAAGACTCTGTAGTCACTTGCAACTAACTTCCTGAAGGGTGCTTACAATGAGGACGGAGCCAAACACTTCTTGTCAGCAGATTATATAACTAATAACTAACTAAAAAGCTACAAACTGCAGCTTGGGAGGTTCAAGTAGAAACATAAGACTGTCTTTTCCAGCACATTTGTTTTAACAAAAACAGGAAAAACAAAGTTTCCATACAGAAAAGTCACAAGAACCACTTACGGGTCACCTTCTGAAACGAGTAACATGAAAGCTAGCATTTGCAGTGACGTTGATATGATATATTAGCAATGCTTTTAAGGATATCATCAATTTCAGGAACAGTTGGTACTTAAACCAATCTCTCTCCAGCCTTCTATAAACTTTCCCATGAGTCTCTTTTCTAACGTTGTAGTACCTGTATCAATCATCCTGTCCTGGCTATTGAAGGCACAACTTACAACCAGTAACAACTACACTAGTGACCACAGTCACTATAACGACTAACATTAGGCATTACCAAGATTTATCAAAACCAAGAGATTAATTTTTCTTTACCTAAATGAACAAGGCTGTCTACACTCTGCCCAACTGAAGCGACAGTAAAGAAGACAAATAAAAATGTCTAAGTAGGAAAGAGTTACAGGGTTTTTTTTTTCCCCATACTTACAGAAATAGACGAATAGAACTTCTACAAATCTTTTTTTACAAAAACACGACAGTGAAACTAAAACCTAGGTCTGAAAAAAAGTCGGCATGCAGAAGACACAAGGTATAAGAGAACAAAGATCAAGGAGGAACACAGGAATAAAGGACAACAGTGAGCAAGCCTGACAATAATATTAAGGGAAGTCAGTCAGATTACACTGAAAATCTTGAGGAGAGGAATGGCCTTTCAGGTTAAAGGGAATGCACCAGACTGACCAAAAACCCCTAACAGAAAAAACAGGCAGTAAAAAAAAATAAAATGAGTGGGACTATTCCAAGGATTTGTGGGATGTAACTTACAAGAAATTGTCATGGGTTCAGTATTGATGACAGAGAAAAAGCCGAACAGATACACAGAGACAACAGAGTATTTCTGATGTTTAACAGTAAGCTTACAGGATGACCAATCTCATCCCTTTGCCTTCTTCCCAGTTCACCTCATTTTAACAGATTTTCCAAAAGGTACGACAGAACACTTTACAACAAACTAGTGTGCAGCAGCTGAAACAGAAAAGCAAGTTTCAGTCTGCCCTCACGCTCTGAAACGTCTTGAAACCATTTCAGTTTAGCCGCAGTCAAAACTTGCTTCTGACGATACAGTTTTAAAGTTTTATATGTAAAACTCAGCTAACAAAAACCTTTGTTATGTCATTTTTACATACCCATCCACAGAAGGGTAGAATGAAGGAATGAGAAAAGAAAAGCTGAGCGTGATGAAGAAAAACTGGCGTTGAAGTTTCAAGAAACCAAAACCCATAGGGAACACGCTATTTGTGAAGACTGAGGTAGTTCTCACGAAAAGAAAACAGGCGTTGAAGTTTCAAGAAACCAAAACCCATAGCGAACATGCTATTTGCGAAGACCGAGGTGGTTCTCGCGTGCTACGAACACTAATTTGAACGCCGCGGCAAATACGTTACAGACGTCACTGCATCGATGAGACGTGAGAAGCAAGGTACACAGAAGCAGAGGTTGGAAGCAGCACCGGTACCGTGTTTAGGGCCACGCTCTCGCATTTTACACACGCTGTCGTCTGCTACGGTAACAAACTGAAGAAACGACTCACCACTGCTGCACTGACCCTGTCTGTGATTTAGGGAAGAATCCGCTTTACTGTAAAACTCCAACGGCTGCTCTGCAACCTGCAGGAAGGAAAGAACCACCTTTAACAAGGGCCAGCGCTTGCCCTTCCCTACGAAAAACAGCTCGTGCCAGCAAGCTTAACGCCCCGTCCTCTTTCGATGCCTGCCGGTCGGACTCTACCCCGGCGGAAAACTCCGAGGAGGAGGAGGAGAAGCCGGGGCGCAGCTCCCAGGAACCGGGCAGCGGTTCGCGGCTTCCGACTCCGGGAAGGCAGCCTGCCGCCGCCCAGCCACACGGAACGTCAGGCTGAGCCGTCTCGCCCCCGGCGGCCTGCAGCGGCCAGCCCGGAAGGTGACACACGACGCCGACGCCGGGCTGCACCGGCGCGGCACGGCGCCGGGCCGGGCAAGCGGGCGCCCGGGCGCTGCAGCG